CGCCTCGGCCTCCCAGAGAGCTAGGATTACAGGCGTGAGCCACCGCGCCCGGCCCTATTCTTTTTAATTTTAAAGAAAAATTAGTTGAAGAAAAGAAATTGTTGTAGATGCTGGAATCAGATGTGCCACTTTATCATCAGAATACCAGCGTCAGATTCTTCTTTCTTTGCTGCACTCTAAGGAGTGACTGATCTTTTTATTATTGGATGAGACTAATGTCCTGTTAAGCGACCACAAGCTGGGACCCATCTTTGATGGACATTTTTTCTGTAATCAATACCCTTTATGGTTAAAGGTAATAATTCTCCTCTTGTTTAATTGAAAATAACATTAGGTGGCTCTATAGGGAATAATATATAAAAAGATCAATATATATAAATGTTTTTAAGAGTGTTCTCTTTCTTTACTTCTCTTTGGATTCTTAACACAAAAGAAATGCATTGCATAACTTAAAGGAAATAAGATTTTCTGGGAAACAATAAATTGGGAGGGAGAGCAAAATTCCCACCTAGTGACATCCCTGTGGTCAAGTCAAAAGCTGGTCTTCAGCTCCCATCTGGCTGTGATCTCAGATGAAATCCAGAAGAGGAGGCTCCGTGTGTTATGCCCAAGGACAGTGAATGCCACAGTCCTCTGCTCAGAGCTGGGCTAGACTCCAAGGCTCACTGAGCACAATGTCTGTCCTATCTCCTTGTTACATCTTTTTCACAATATCCTTGGGTGATGCCTGTTCTTTTCACGATGCTATAGGAAAGGCTCCAACACCAAAGAGCCAGGCCAGCCATTTGCAAAGAGCCATTTGACATCAGACTAAGGAACTGACTGAGGAGAGTGTGAAAATATTGATGTTTGCTCACTTTGGTCAGAGCCCAGATCAAAGCACTGGTTTGATCTTACTTGGAAACACTGACCTCGGATACAGCAGTGTAACTTCTACACTAGGAAGTAGGAGTGCACTCAGGAAGGCCACTGTAAGAGCAGCAGACCCTAAGAACAAGACCCTAAGACCTAGTCTTGGGTTAAAGGAATTGTATCCTATTTTAGTCTCTACTAGAAGAATTTTAGAAAACCAGATTTTGGCAGCAAAAATTAAGGACAGCCCCACTGCCCTCTGCACTTGTAATAAATAATGTCCTCCTCTTTGGGTCCCACTGTGCTACATTATAGTCCCATCCAGGGAGAATGAGGAAGTAGCACAGAGTCTCTTCAAGAGGTTGTTAGGTTTGTTCCAGGTGGGAACCCAAAAAGTTTGTATAGGACGGAATGCAGTTAATGGAAAACTTAGGCTTGTAAAACAATAGCTGTGGGAGTCTGGAGAGTCCCCGGACATTGTAAATCTAACAGCTGCAGCCAGCATTCCTTCCCCCCAACCACAGGGAGGAAGTTTATCCCTCTCTCTCTCCTGATAAGGACAATGCCAGAGCTGCACGATGGATGTGACTGGGGCAGGGGTCCTAGGAGCTGGTTGTCTGAAAAAGAATTAATTACAAGCGGCTGTTCTGGCCCACTTACTTACTCCCCCCGGAGAAACCCTCTACAAAACCCAAGGCTTTTCCCTTCCTCAATGTGGACACTTTTTTGCCTCCACCTATCTGCACCCAGATGCTCAAAATAAACAGCACTTTGCTACACATAAGGCTTCGTGTGTCTCTCTCTCAGCTCCAGACCTAACAGAGGTCATTTGCCAAAATTAGAGGAAATATAAAATATGTTCTTTGCAGCAGCAAGAGATTCTTTCAGCCTTTCGTTCTTCATGCCATAAAGCCAGCTTTGCTTGAATGGAAAGGTCCACTTTGCTGGTTTGTCTGCTAAGAGTTGGAGGGAGGCCACACCCCTGCCATTGGCGTCGGATGGAGGAGCAGGGGGATGGCAGGCAGACAATGTCACCAGACCAAGCCAGCCCATGGCTGGTAGAAGGAGCAAGCCCCTGGTTAGGTTCTAGAGGTGCAGATGGTCAATATGCCCCAGAAGCATCACAAGGAGGAAAATCATCCAAGAACAGTAGATGGACAAGTGAGAATCTGGGCAGATCTGCTGTTTCCAGCTGATCAGAAAAGGAAGGAATGAAAGTGACAGCCAGGAATCTGAATGGGTGCTGTGGTGGTGGTGGTGGTGGGAGGTGATCACAGGGGCATCTGGAGCCCCAGCAACAGCTGGAGGTCCCACCTAGAAGAGTGGCAGTAATTCAGCCAACTCGCTAAGCCTACAAATTAAGAAGTCCTCTGACAGCGGGTGTGAAGACAAACTCCATGAGCACCTTGCTATAGGACCAGTGGAGGATGCACTGATTCCAGACACGCTGGGGCTCAGAAGGAACCCCAAACCTCATGCAAGGGCTTGAAACCCTAGGGTCTGAATGTGGGAGTGGACACCGCCCTTGTCACATTTGGTGGTTTTCCATTTAAACACACATATTTGCTTTTAGTATCTTTTATGCTTTTTTCTTCCTGCCAAATATGTTCACATAAAAAAGGGTCTTTTTCTTCCCTTCTGTTTCTCCTGGACAAGATGAAAAAGACCTCACTGAAATCCCAGAATTAGACATGGGAAAAACTTCTGTTCTCCCTGCTTACTCAGTGACGAGGACAAAATCTTCTGTGCCCTGCAATGGAAGAAGGAGCTTGTTCATGTGCAGCCAGCACATTGCTGTAGCCACAGCATCACAGGCAGTGAGAACACTTGGAGTGTGTCCTTTCTCTCCCAGCCACACCCCACAGTTCCCAACAGGCTTGGCCACTGCAGCCTCCTCATGCCAAATTGGCCGCAACATGGTTGGGGAATAAGCAGGTGGGGAGGGAGCCTTCTGCAAATGACACGTCTGTGTCATCAGCCATGGGATGAGAGGGGCTTCCACCCTAGGTTGTGCCTCTTGATGACCTAGGCCTAAAAGTCACAAGGACAGCACAATGAGGGAGGACTTGTTCTCCTGGAAAAACTGTACCTCCAGTGAGCTCATGTTTCACCCCGTCTTCTAGTGCACTGCCTCTGCCGAGAAGAATTGTCCCTGAAGGACATGCCTATGTTTGTTCAAAAAGCCCTGACTTTACCACTGTCCGATTCATCCATGTAACAAAAAACCACTTATACTCCCTAAATCTATTGAAATAAATATATATATAAATGTATTTTTAATTGAAGAAAAATAAAGTTACAGAGCAATAATGTGGATTTTTTGTGGGTTCTTTGTTTTTTTAGAGATGGCGATCTTGCTCTGTTGCCCAGGCTGGAGTGCAGTGGTGCAATCATAGCTCACTGCAGCCTGGAACTCCTGGGCTCAAGCGATCCCCCCACCTCAGCCACCCAAGCACCTGTGACTACAGGCACGTGCCACCACACCCAGCTAATTTTTCTTACGCTTTGTAGAGACTGGGTCTTGCTGTGTTGCCCAGGCTGATCTCAAACTCCTGGACTCAAGTGGTCCTCCTTCCTCAGCCTTCCAAAGTGCTAGGATTACAGGGGTGAGCCACCACACCCAGCCAAATCTGTGTTGTTTTAAGCCACTAAGTTCGTGGTAATTTGAAACTAATATAAATGGTAATGAAGGTAAGAGGATACACTAGAATACTTGTACTTTTTGTTAGGGCAGCCTTGAATCTCCCAATTTTCTAATAACAGCTAAGGATCAATCTTGAGCTCTCCCTTTTCTTTGCTATTTCTCTCCCAAACTAGCAGGCACTCTGCAGGGACTCCATTTTCATAAACGTCAGACAAGAGCCAAAAGAAAGGAAATGTACATCTTTCTCTTGACATTCACTAGCTCGGCAGCCTTTAGAATTTGTTTCTGTAGCCTCAAGGAGTTCCTGAGGAGCTCCCGGACAGACAGCAGGAGGGTAAACTCCAGGCCTTCTTTTCTGCCCAAAACCGTATCTCAAGGGCAAAATCACATCTCCTGTGATAGGCCTGACTACATTTCAGAGATAACCAAGTCTCCAGGAACAGAATAAACAAGAAAGACAGACAACTTGACCTCTCCCGACTGCCTGCTAATTACTTCCCAACAATTACTATTTTTCTCTTTGTCCCCATAAAAGCAACAAGCCCTTTCTCCACCCTTGCCACCTTGGGCAGCTACTAAGCTTTCCACCCTAACACTTTCCAAGGTACACTCTTCTTTAACAGAGAAGGAAACAAACTCATTAAATTTAAGAGATAAGTGGTGACCATAGATAAAAAGTTTTCATAGTAAGTCTGGGGCCCAGAGGGAGAGAGCAGCTCGGAGTGGTTGGAACTCCTGGCCCACCCGACCCTGTTACAGCTGAAGTAGTTTCACTTTTATCTATTATTTATTTATATTGGGGCTTTGGTGGCTGTATTAGTCAGGGTTCTCCAGAGAAACAAAACAATAGGATATAAATATATAGACAAAGAGATTTATTATAATGAATTGGCTCACACAATTATAGAGTCTGGAAAGTCCCAAGATCTGCAGGACGAGTAGGCAACCGGGAGACCCAGATAAGCCAATGACTTAGTTCCAGTTCAAAGGTCGGCAGGCTTGAGACCCAGGAGAGCTGATATTTCAGTCCAAAGGCAGAAAAAAAGCTGATTTCCCAGTTGGGAGATCTTCAGTCAGGAAGAATTCTGTCTTACTCAGAGAGGGTCAGCCTTTTTGTTCTATTTAAGCCTTCAACTGTTGGATGAGGCCCACCCACATTATGGAGGGCAGTCTGCTTTACTCAGTCTACCCATTTCAATATTAATTGCATGAAAAAACACCCTCACAGACACACCTAGAATAACATTTGACCAAACATTCTTGACCCTGTGGCCCAATCAAGTTGGCACACAAAATTAACCATCACAGTGCCTAAAAAAGGTTTGAACATCACTGATCTAGTAAACATCCTCCATTGTACTGATGAGAAGTGTGGAGACACAGAAAGGAAGGCCCTTGATTTTGTGATCTTCCTTACTGGATTTATTTTTGCTCATCCAGTTTAGGTACAAGGCTTCTCTCCCTTCTGGAGGCTCCAAGGGAGAATCCATTTCCTTGCTTTGTCCTACTGCTAGAGGCCACTACATTCCTTGGCTTGTGACCCTCTTCCTCTACCTTCAAAGGCATAGGTTGAGCCTTTCTCATATCAAACCACTCTGACACAGACTCTCCTCCCTCCCTCTTTCACTTATAAGTACCCTTGTGATTATGTTGGGCCCACTTGGAGAGTCCAGGACACTCTCCCCATCTCAAAGTCAGCTGATTAGCGACTTAACTCCACCTACAACCTTAATTCCTCCTTGCCATGTAACATATTCACAGATGCTGGGAATGAACTTCTCTGGGGGTCCATTCTTCTGCCTACCACAATTCTACTGCCAGAGACATCTAATAGAGCTCTCTTTTCACGCTGCTGACCTGTTTCCAGAGGGGCATTGGCTCCCTGGCTCAGGGTCACTTTCAGGCATCCAGGCCCCGCTACAATATGGCCTTACCCTACTTAGCCAGCATTATCTTCTCAGCATTTCTTCTTTTATTGGTTGTCCTGCCTGGAAAGTGGTCCTTGCTCTTTGGGCCCGGATTACCAAACCAAAACCAACCAACCAACCTGAGGTCAGCTTCTCATTACTGAATGGCACATTGAACCTAAATTCTAATTAGTTTCTATATCCTTCAGGGCCTTTGTACCTATTGTTCCCTCTACTTGGAATGCTCTTTCCCCAAATTTTCTTGTGGCTTCCTCACTTCCTTTATCCTGTGCTTCACTGCTTCACAGAGCACCAAATCATAAATGGCATGTCTCTGCCCCACTCAATTTGTTTCTTTCTATCTCCTTATTCTGATTTATTTTTCTTCTTAGCATTTATCATGACCTCACATAGATCATATCTGAAAGCACTGTGTTTGTTTTTATTTCTTCCACCACTAGAATTTGAGCTCCTTGAGAATAGAACTTTGTTTTATTCACTGCTATATCCCCAGCATCTAGGACTAAGCCTGCCACCTACTAAGTGCTCAATAAATATTTGTTTGAATCAATCCCTTTCCCTCTATCCCCATTGCCAGAAATTTAGTTTAAGTATTCTTCCATCATCGCTCATTTGGATAATTGAAATAGTCTTCTAACTGGTCTCTAGGCTTCCTCTAACTGCCTATTCTGCAGCCAAAAATGATTTTTCAAAACCACAGATACAATCATGACATTCCCTTGCTCAAAAAGACTTCAATGGCTCCTCATTTTCTTCAGGAAAAAATAACTTGGTACTAAGTTTAGGGCAAAGGAGACAACTAAGGGTCTGCATAATTTGGTCCCCATCATTTGATCATGAAATAAGCCCTTCATGAACAGCTACTCTGTGGCAGGTATTGTTCTAGATTCCAGAGATATAACAGTGAATGAGGTACTGAAGTTGATAGGTACAGACAGCAGAGTGGGTGGAGGGACAGAAGTCAGGGTAGAAGAGCTGGAACAGAAGGACTCTCCATGTTTCCTAAGAAGAGCATTTGTAACCGGCACCCACTCCAATAACTGCTTCCTTAACAGAGTATATAATTTACCTTGAGTGGGCCCCAGGAATTGATATTGGGACAAAGGAGAGAGGCAGAGAGAGCCTGGGGTTACTTCTGGTCTCCACAGCAGACTCGAAGGGAAAAAAGGAAAGGAAGCAGCATTCAAGGGTAAAATACACCAAGAATAAAGTCCCCCTTGCTTTGGCAATGAAGATGTTAGAAGGATGACCTGAGCTGGCTTCTCTGCCCGGTCCCCAGAGGGGGAAGCCTGCTTATTGAGGGACCCATCTGCTTTTACAGAGGCTGCAATCAGACAGTCCTCACAGGAAAGATGACCTTGGGGTAAATAGATTTATACAAAGGCAAAGCTATTTCTCCTATTCATCAAAGTCCTCCAATCATAAACATAAGTGGCCAACCAAAGAACACCAAGTATTTGAGGGAAAATAACATAAAAGAATCCAAGATGAACAAAGAAACAGCTGATCCTGAAGGAAATAGATAATGAAAGGATCAAAAATGACCTCCAGAAAGATTAGAGAATATATTGTATACATAAAACCAAAAAAGCAATGAGAAAATGATAAAGTTCTTAGAAAAAATAAAGGTAAGATTTGAAAATATAGCAAATATTAAGGAGACAGCCCAAGAGTTAAATTGGAGTCTCAGGAAGGCATAGGAAGTATGAAATAAATTTTGTCTTTAGCACCAAGCTTGTAAAAGGGAAAAATATTTATTTTCAAAGTGGTTTCCACAGTTGCTCAGAAAAATCCCTGCTTTTGCATTCAGTGTTGATGTGTTCTTACAGGTAGTCTATATACTCACAACTTGTTTCCATATTTGGCGACACAAACATCATTGTGAAAATGGCCTCTCTCAAATTTGGAAGAACTCTTTGAAAGTTTTGCTCTTCATATCCTAGGCAGATTTACACTTAGTAACTGATAAAATAAAAATTAGGCACTTGGCCGGGCGCGGTGGCTCACGCCTGTAATCCTAGCTCTCTGGGAGGCCGAGGCAGGCGGATTGTTTGAGCTCAGGAGTTCGAAACCAGCCTGAGCAAGAGCGAGACCCCGTCTCTACTAAAAATACAAAGAAATTAATTGGACAACTAAAAGTACATAGAAAAAATTAGCCGGGCATGGTGGCGCATGCCTGTAGTCCCAGCTACTCGGGAGGCTGAGGCAGAAGGATCGCTTGAGCCCAGGAGTTTGAGGTTGCTGTGAGCTAGGATGATGCCATGGCACTCTAGTCCAGGCAACACAGTGAGACTCTGTCTCAAAAAAAAAAAAAATTAGCCACTTATAAGAACTAGAATTATCCAA